AGGGAAAGTTGTAGTTTTATACTGTTTAAGCACTACTTCTCATTTGTGGCTCATTAAATCGGTCGCACACGCTATACTGTCCAACTTATCTGTGGACGTGTTTGCTATGGAGTTTTATACGTAAAGCACCGCGCGTAATGTGTTAACTGATATTGCTAACAATATGGCAATTAACCGGGCTAGAATTGGATTTCATGATTAGTCGGATTATTTATCCGATTTACGGTAGTTCGGGCTAATTGTAAGTGAACGAAGATAAAGACCATTTAAACTGAGGTACCTTAAATACAACAAGTTGTCCGGCTAAGCAAAAAATCTTGCTTTTTGATATGGGTCCATGGTATTGCACTTGTGTGGCAGATGGAATGCAGCCGACTCGTGTTCAAGATGTTCAATACACGTTAAGTGCATATATATTCCCTTTTTTCTTGAGTCTGTTTGCTCATGCAAAATGAAATCTGATTCATATAGATTTAAAATGAATGATATTTAATCGTGATTAATCTAAATTAATCCACAGCAACCCTGTGATTAATCTGATTAAGAATTTTAATCGTTTGACAGCACTTTATATATATATATGGACATAAGTATTAGGAGACACCCCTTAATCATTGAATTCAGGTGTTTCATTCAGCTCTATTGGCACAGGTGTATAAAATCAATCATCTAGCCATGCTGTCAGGTTTACAAAGATCTGTGAAAGAATGGGTCATTCTGAGGAGCTCAGTGAATTTAAGTGTGGTACTGTTATAGGATGTCACCTTTGCAATAAATTAGTTTGTGAAATTTCTTCCCTGCTATACATTCCACAAACATGCAGACCAAATAATGTGACAGAGCAGGGTTGCAGAGTGCTAACAGGCAAAAGTCACCAACACTCTGTTGACTCAATGACTGTAGAGTTCCAAACTTCCTCTGGCATTAACTCCAGCACAAAAACTGTGCACCGGGAGCTTCATGGAATGGGCTTCCATGGCCGAGCAGCTGCATGCAGGTCTCACATCACCAAGCGCAATGCCAAACGTTGGATGGAGGGGGATAAAGCACACTGCCACTGGGCTCTGGAGCAGTGGAAAAGTGACAAATCACACTTTTCTATCTGGCAGTCTGATGGATGAATCTGGGTTTGGCAGATGCCAGGAGAACTTTTCCTGTCTGACTACATTGTGCCAACTGTAGAGTTTGGTGGAGGAGGGATAATGGTATGAGGTTGTATTTCAGGGGTTGGGCTAGGCCGCTTCAGCATACAAAGACATTTTGGACAGTTCTCTGCTTCCAAATTTGTGGAAACAGTTTGGGAAAGGCCCTTTTCTGTTCCAGCATGACTTTGTCCCGGTGCACAAAGCAAGGTCCATAAAGACATGTTTGGGTGAGTTTGGTGTGGAAGAACTTGACTGGCTGCACAGGGCCCTGACCCTCAACCCCATCAAACACCTTTGGGATTAACTAGAATGGAGATTGCGAGCCAGGCCTTCACATCCAACATCAGTGTCTGACATCTCAAATACTCTCCTGAATGAATGGACAAAAGAAAAAGGTTTTGTGGAAAACCTTCCCAGAAGAGTGACAGCTGTTACTCCTGCAAAGGGAGGGGGGGGGGTGTCGGAATGCCTATGGATTTAGAATGAGACGTCATAAAGGTTCCTGTGGGTGTTATGGTTGGTGTCGAAACACTTATACTGCATATAGTGTATTTCAAATACAAGTACTACTAGATTCAGCTCTACATTCAGCACGAATGATTCCAGTAGTATAAATGTTTATTATCGGAATAATTACTCCATACCATTTCTCCATTACAGTATCACTCCAACATTTTATCACTGTAAGACTGTGACCTTCAGTCTCATTTATTTTTTACTCACGGATCAGCTGGGTGTTGACAGCGGCAGGCTGGGAGAGGTCTGTAAAATTCAGGTTGCACATACTGGTGCTGCAGCAGCAAAACAGCATGCCACTGTTTATCTTTGAAGATGCTGCTGTAACCATGCAACGGTCGCCATGGCACTTCTGCTGATTATTGATGGGAGTCCAGCAACCTGGGAGAAGACAGGAAGGAGTTGAAGTGCTTTTCGCTAAGAGGCTGCAGGATGAACCCTGCTGGGCAGGTCATGTGACCACAGATGGGGTACCTTGCTCGACCAGCTGGATGTCCCCCTGCTGGCCCTTCTGCCACATGCCGTAGCAGCTTTTGCCGTACGGGCAGTGGATTGTGGTGTTCTCCTGTGAGACATGCCCCACCCAGTCTGGCTTCGGCTGCTGGTTGTAGAAGGCACACTGCAGCTCATCCCTCTCAGCAGCCTGGGAAAGAGGGCCCCCCTTCGTCACTCCTCCTGCTCCTTCCTCCACCCACTCATCTCCATCTGGGGCAGACGTGGCGAAGTCCTCCGTGAAGTTCAGGTTGCACATATTAGAGCTGCAGCAGCAGAAGCGGTAGGTGCCGTTCTGGATCTGCGTGGTTGAGATCACACAGCGGTTCTCGTGGCACTCCTGCTGGTCACCAAAGTTAGTCCAGCAGCCTGTTAGGAGATGATTGAGAGGGAGTTCAGGTGCTGCCCCACACAGGTGGAAGGGTGAGCCCTGCAGAGCAGGAATTGTGACCACAGACAGCTATACCTTGCTTGACCAGCGAGACTTCCCCGTTGCTGGTCTTCTCCCACATGCCGTAGCAGTGGCTGCCGTGGGCACAGTGGACGGTGGCATTCCTCTGTGAAGCGTGGCCCTCGCCAACCATATGCTGCTCGCCTGGCTTCTGCAGGTGGTCGTAGAAGGCACAAACTCGATCCTCGGCCTCCGCAGCTGAGGAAGGTGGGAAGAGAAGCACTGAGCGTGTGCTCATCAAGGGACACACAGTCCCCCCCATCCAGCAGCCAGAGCGTCGTCCTCCATCAGGCCCAAAGAGAAATGCTACAAACAGAGATCCACCTCCTGCCATTATACACCCTGCAACTAAATTAAGGCTCCACAGCTGTTCCCAAAACCTGCTTAATATGACAAGATCTCAATGTCAAGGCTGAAATTCATAGTCTATATTCATGGCAATGGCAAGTAACCTTTCACTACCCCAAGTTCCAAAAAAGGCAGCAGACTCTGAAACTTTATGGCAGACCATAAAATATACTTAAAATGTCACGACTGAAAACTTGAAAACATCTCCCCTTCACATGTTTATCGCGCCATAAATCTCTGCGTGTATATTTTGGCTGTACCATCTTGTTTTGATATTGCTTCCAGCCTAGATCAAATCTCTCACCTGAGAATTCAGACAGCCTGAGAAATGCTGCGTGATGTGCAACGTAGCCCCAGACTCTCTCTTGCTCTATCTGAGAAGTTTAGTGGGCACCCTCCGGCTTGGGGGCCCTTCAGCATACTCCATACCAGCACTCTGCTCTCCAGCCATGAGGAGTAGGCATATCAATCAGGGGAACCCGAAAGCATTTCATGTCCTACATCAATAGCCAGAATCGTCCACCTCCATGTCTACGCCCACCAATGCCCCAACCCTGTTCTGTTGTGATCACAAACACATGCTTTCCCATCTTTGGGGGCTGGTTTCTCCATTCCTCTGGAAATATCTTCAAGCCATCATGTTTAATGATGTGACTGAAGGCAGGCTGATGGAATGGAAACAGCTCTGGGTGCTATAGGAAAACACCATAAATACTTTCACAACCTCTCGAAAATATGAAATCAGGTGTAGATCTTCATCCGCATAATGTTTCCGTGAAACAGTAATAAGATCCATTTTATTACTAGCAGAGTCCTCTAGTTAAATGAGAACAAGATTACATCCCTCATGCTGAGACACACCTGCGAAGCAGCGCTAGATAAGCAGTAGGAATCAGATGCCCTGATTCGATCTGAATCCGATTCACAAGTTAACGATTCAATTCAATCCGATTTGATTTGATTCTGATTCAATACAAATTTGATAGGAATGAGATATGAAACACTATTTAGTGGCTTTCCATATTTGGAGACGATTAAAAAGCTCTAAATGGATCACAAATTTAGAAATGCAGTGTCACTGGAAACATTGTGAGAACATCTCTATTCTAGGGCATTTTGATGTTCATGATATCCATTTGCAGCGGTTACTCCTGTCATTATACATTTTATTTGATGTATGTATTTATTTTAGCTGCTTTAGCTGCTCATCTTTGTACAGCACTTGAGTGAAACACTGGAATGTTTTAAAAAATTTGCTTAATGAATTTTTCTTTAAGAAAAATGTATTTAAGTAAAATTTTAAAATAGGCACATCTAAAAAACTCATATGCCATGTTTCAGGAGGACTTAAATATATGTGCCAAAACATAAATTAGACTTTATAATGTTTTGAATGACGATAAGGTCCACCTGCATGCTCTGGCAGAAGGGTTGGAACCAGCACATCTGGGTGATGTCTTGTTAAATGATTATATAGTTTGTCATATTAAGTAAATAACACCTTAACCCTAAATAACGTACAAATGTTAATATTGCATAATGGCTGCCAGGCAAAATATGCCTTCCTCTTCATTTACATATATAGCAAACCACCTACCTCTGAGAATATGCAGACATTGGTGTATTATAGCGACAATTCTGCCTCAGGGAGATGAAATGATTGGAAAAAACAAGATTTTGTTAGAGTGTTGTTTACAAACTCGGCACTTAAAAAGCACACGCAAAAATACCGATACTTTACCATGTTTGGGTCGCTAGCGCCAGGCACTTATTTGGCATATGAATGACCGTAAAACAATTTTAAGCTATGTTACCATAAATTTGGTAGCAAATTATTAGATGAAAAGTACGTGATATGTACTGGGAACAGCACCCACACTGCATCATATGACCCCAGGAGAGCAGTAAAAATGACGTCCGAGTTGCTAATGAATATGTATGGGCCCAAAGGTTAAATATGCAAATATAAATGAATACAATTTACTCAAATTTACTTTACTGTTCCGGTGTCGGAATCCTATTGATTGAAACATCAGACTGTTTAGCTGTAGGCATTGTAAACGTGTTTAAGGTAGCTACTAGCTAATGTTATTCGTATGCTGACATCAGGGCAAGTGAGGTGCAGTGTTGCTTCGATTGCCTGAGCAGCAGAGGGAAAATATTTCAACTGACAGCTCAGGCATTTAAGTGGCAGCGAAATCTTCATTGCAATACTTTCTGGTACAACCCTATGTTTACTGATTGTGGAAATTAACCTAGAAAACTGAAAAAATGCATATCAGCCAAAAGATTGATCCATAAATTTTACAAATTTAAAAAAAATGATGAATAAAAAAACCATCTTTGCACACCCTTACTTATTGAGTTATTACATTCAAAAGGTGAATTGTTTGCTGCCATTAAGCAGCACAGTATCAGTTTTGGTTAGATTTGTCTCAAAATAAAGTCAGTTCCAGGCCTTTACTTACATAAAGCTGTGCCATTCAAAAAAGACCTGACAAATACTTTTTGAGTTATCACGCTAATGGCATGAGTGACTGTGGCTACCCTTTTCTTTGTTACCACTATGCGGTACTACTTTGATGTTGGTATGATTTGTCTCAATTTGACCATCTTATAGCATTTCAGCAATACAATGTCTTTTGAATTTCTGCACTAACCAAAGAAGTGTCTGCAGTAGCGACAGTGCCCCAGTCTCAAAACCACATGTACATAACATAAATAATAAGATCTCCAAGACATGAACATACTAATCAGGTACAAAACAATACTGGTGCCAGAGATTTCTTGTTCCTTCCTGGCTGTATCTAAACATTCCTGTTGAACAGGGGCATCGCAACCAAAGAGTGCATTGTGGAAGCTTAGACGTGCTAAGTGTTCACCTGCTTCTATTCCTGATCCCTACCCAAGGTCACGTACATGAGAACAGCTGCAGGAAAGAATGGAACTTTTCATCGATTTTGTTTTCATTTAGACCTGTAATACATGCCACCCATATTGGAATACTTGTCCCAATATAAAAATGGTGCACTTTAATGATTGTAAAAAAAGAAAGTTGGGGGCCAGGGCACTGCTTTATGCTGGCGGGAAATTAATAATTCAGAGCCCCAGGTTGCTCATCTTAAAATGTGAGCAGATTCACTGTGTATCGGATTGTTCTAAAACCATTTAAAATGAGGAGACGGAACATCTAGCCCTCGGCCGCTATCTGTCTGAGGAATAAACAGACAGTCAGAGCCTGTTACTGCACATACCTGCTGGTCAAAGATGGAACTTTATTGTATTTATTTATTTTATTTTATTTTTTTTTTTGAGTGTTTGCCTGTTCAAGAGGCCACAACGTTACCCTTATTCTATCATTAACAGACATTTGGTTTCAATTCAATATTCTGTACTGTGACTTGGTGGAAGACCTCAACCCCAGAACCCATGTGTTCATGTGCCTGGCAGATGGATCTAAACCAATCTCCCTAAGGCTTCACTGTAATTAAGGTCACTTAAAGCAACCTACCCACTTGGCTCTGCTGCCGAGTCCCGTGGTAGGACCTAGTGCATCATATGACAGTCTAATCACATTCCCATTGGTCCACAAGTTCCAAATATTACAGCTGTCAGAGGTGTGCTGCCTTTGTGCAGGAAAACAAGTTATGCCAATAACCATAGTCAGCACTGCCAGTATGCAGAGGGAGTCACATTATGCGCCATAGACATAAAAATGCAGACGGCTGCAGCTGCAACACCGTGGGTGTCAGAACTGCGTAACCTCACATGTGAACATCGAAGTGGGCACAAGATGCGCAGAGGTGAGGCAGCTTGTTTTTTCACATGGAACAAAGGCAGAAACAGACAGCAGCTCACGGGAGCAGCAGCTGCAGGGCCAGCCAGAGCACAGCCCCCCCCCCCCCCCCCCCCAGCTCCACCCGCCGAAAAGCTGTAATTAAGGAGCGTCTCTTAATAGCTGCCATTTTCTTTAATTCATTTTACGACAGAATACCTCGATTTTGGAAGGAAAGTAAGCATTTCTAAGTGTGTGTAACTGCTCTTCTACGCCAGCCGAAAGAGAGCGTGTTGGAGAAAGGATGGGGAAAAACAGACAAGTAGCAACTGAGCTTGGCATGCCTGCCCACCATCCTCCCTAAAATCTGGCGGAGTGGGGAATCGGCAGCGCAGTGATGGCGGTCTGCTGGTGGTGTAGCTGACACAGAGCATGGTCGAGCTCGGTTGGTGAGCTCGTTGAGCTGCTAATGACTCAGTTTGACTGGTTCCGCGACCGGCACGCCCGAGACCTGAGCCCCGTTGATGGTCAGAGGGGGTTGAGAAGATCGTGAGGTGGAGACTGGCCAGCAAATGAGAGAGAGAGAAACAGAATCCGCTAGTTAAATGAGAACAAGATTACATCCCTCATGCTGAGACACACCTGCGAAGCGGCGCTATATACGCAGTAGGAAGCTAGATGGGTGGATACTATGACTCAGGGAATTTTTCAGGGCCTCATTGTCTTAAAAAAAACCAGAATATAAGACCATACTGCACAAACAAGCAAGCACATACTTCATGAAGCTATGCTAAGTGGCGTTTCACATTTGTAATTAGCACACGGCCCCTGAAAGCAAGCATATATGCAGCACTAAATTTGGAAAAAAAACGCATACAGTAGTAGTGAAACATCAAATCTTGTATTCAGACATTTGTGCTGCTGGCCTAATTACTACCACAAGCCAGATTTTTCACAGAAAAATAGACAGGTTAGTAATATATAAATATTAACCTAAGTTAGAGACAATATTTCTGTTCCAACTGTTTCTAACACATTCAACTCAACTGCTTGTTTACATTTCAATACAGTTTTA